CATTCTCATTCTGCCTCGGGTGCTGCTCCTAATTGCTCGGACGACGTCGGTCTTAGAGATGACGATGGTGCTACGTGGTGTTTAGCCTCGACAGATGTCGTGCGGCTCTGTGTAAAAGCAGGTACTCGGGACAAAATTCGCAGGGTGCGTGATGCCATGACTGCCGTGAGCGGTGCACGTGGACCCATTACTGACTCGTGGATTGTTTGATGCACTGGTCTTTGCCGACGATTAAGAAAGAGTACGGCGATGCCATTGCAGATGCGCTTTCGGTGTCATTGCCCACACGTGTGTATGATCATGATTTTCAGTTGGGCGATGTTGTCACTGAATCAGGAGGTGACGTTGATGTTGGGGTTGATTCTGCTTCTGACGGTTATGCGTTTGGGGGATCATTTGACGGCTCACAGAGCTCTTTCTCGAGATTAGGCCGTAGTTCGCAGCGCGGTAACAGTGGTGGTGCACTGGAGGTCGCCCCCGTAGTGCAGGTCGCCCTGCGTCCATGCCTAAGCGTGGACCGGATCGTGAGCTGTTTTGGATATGATGGGGTTGTGGAATGCGCCTGATAGGCCAGACGTGAAGTTCCTGAAGCCGGCGAAGTTGCTTCAGCTATTGGGGTTGTTCCATTTGTACTGCCCTTGGCATGGAGGTACTTGTCGCGTAGAGGTTGATTCCATCATGTATCCTGGTCAGTTGTGCCGGTTGGTGCTCGTTTGCAACGCCGTTGTCAATGGACGTGGTGCTCGGCAGTTGTTGCAAATACTATGTGTCAATCTCGATTGCAACAAAAGATGTATCACGCGACGGTTGCCACTATTTGACGTACACCTTGCTCAATAACTTCTGTGTTGCTTTGGGCATGTCCTCTGTGCATAAGCCCACTTTCTTTAAGTTTATGCGCACCGAGGCCGATGTGTCGGAGGGGTGGAATTTGAAGGTTTGCAGGCAAGGTGTTTGATATTGCGAGTTAGCCATCCAAACGGTTATGCAAAGAGGAGAGTCTGTCACTCTCATGATCGATGGGCGCTACGACTCGGCATGGTCCGCACAACATTGCAGTGTGACAGCCATCAAGAACGAGACTCGCCTTGTGTTGGGTGTCCACATTCTTCGTCCAAAAACGGAGGGCAAGGCATCCAATCATCTTGAGGCGCCGGTTGTCGTGCGCCTGGTACGAGGCTTGCTTGGGAAGGGCTTGCAGATCAGGACGGTTATGACTGATGACTATGCGTTGGGTCCTCAACTCCGCAATCTGAATATTGTTTGGCAGAAAAACTGCCACCACAAAATTAAGAACATTCGCAAACACTTTCGAAACATCTTGAAGTTGAAGAAATCGGATTCCATCGGGATTGTGCTAAAGAAGATATGCTGGCGCAATCTGAATATTGTTTGGCAGAAAAACTGCCACCACAAAATCAAGAACGTCCGCAATCTGAATATTGTTTGGCAGGAAAAGTGTCCTCATGACTGCATCTCAGAAGCTCAGCTGATGCAATTCATGAAGAAGGATATGTTGACGACTCTGACGGACAGATTTGGTGCGGGTGTTTTTACGACGAAAGAAGAGAAATTGAAGAAATCGGATTCCATCGGGGTGGTGCTGAAGAAGCTGTACCCTTATGGCACGTTGACGAACAACCGATGTTTAACTATCGATCTTGATGGTGTGACAGAGTTTCATGCGCAAGAGGTTGGGATGTGGTTCCTCCGCGCTTCTGAGCTCTGCCGAAATCAGGGTGGAGATACTTAGACTTTGCATGACGATATCATGATGATCGTTGATCACTGGGCAGAGATGATACGAGGTGCATTGGGGAAAGGCAAATTCTGTGTGAGAAGGGGGGCGGGCCCAACCGTTTGCATTTGTACACCCGCCACGACGCTGTGTACGGAGTGATTGTCCAAGTTTAGGGGAAATAGTTCAACACAAACATCACGTGCTACTACACCGAGTTCCGTCACATGTCGACGGTAGAGACCTTCCGGAGCACGATAATCATATACGCGAAGAAGTCTATGCACTTCGAGAAGTCTATGGAGGCGCGGTTGGCAATCTCAGTGATTCGGTGGAATACTCACGCGTGGCACGACCCCGTCGAGTACCGCACACGCAAACCCTCTGGGACATCCATTCCTGCGAGGTTGAGTTTCTATCGACACAATCCGTTTGTTGACGAATCTTGGGTAGATCGGTTGGCGGCTTTTGTGTTCGGTTCACCCAGGGTTTCGGATTTGGCGCGGCGTCTTCTTTGACACGATGATGTTGAGGTGGGAGTCGGGCCGGGGTCCTAGCCGCCTCCATTGCCCCATGATCTCTTTATGCGAACAGGAATGCGCATGTCTATATCGTCGACAATGCTGACTCCGGTGGCAACACTGTTGTCGTGGGGGACTGTTCTGTTTTTATTGTGGATCGTGACTTCGACGATGTGAGAGTCGATGGTGATGAGTGGGAGCAGACATCGATCTTCGACCCGAGGGATGACGACATTCTTTTTCACTGTGTCTGATTTCCCTTTCCGCTCGGTGTATCCTCGTATGTGCGGTTATCATTTGTATGTACTGTTTCAACCTCCTAATGCGCTAACAGTATAAGGGGTTCATTTTCAAATATTATATCGTCCTGTTTGGATTGCATGTTTGTTTTTYKTTTTYTTATTYATATTYTTTKTTTTTYWTTKTTTTRWATATATATATATATATATATATATATATATATATATATATATATATATATATATATWCAAAAMAATAAAAAAMAAARAATATATATATAKATATATCATAAATGAATGAATTCGTATTAGTTATTTCTCGTATGTTGTAAACAAGGAGAGAGAAAGTTGTGCAACAATAAAACAAGATGTGCAATGACTATCATACCATAGTGCCCAAAACATCGCACAATAGAAACATACACAATATTGCAGGGATGAGTTAACAATATCTCATGCTTACTCACCATTGTATAATAACTCATGTTACACAAAGTATGATAGATTAATTCATTTTCACCTTTCGCAATTAGTCTACGCACTGCATACTAACCCATGCACCTAACATAATGACTTTAAATACTATCTATCATCGTGCACGTCAACGAGGCTGCGCATTCTCTGGTGGATCGGAACGATGCATTCGAAACCCCTGCGGGTTTGTATATGACCATCGTTCCTGCATCGTGTCCTCAAACTCTTGTGGCAATCTCAGGTGAAATCTCACAAATCCGAACCGACGTGAAAATAAGACGTAACCGTTGAAGCAATTCTGCTTAGGCTGTAGATTTTCACGACTTATAAGCAGATTCAAACAATGTCGTTGTACCCATTGAATAGCCCCCGCGGCCCCGTTGATTAGTACAACGGACCCTCCCCGTTGAATATTGTTCAACGGGGAGGGCGTATTGGGCCTCGGACACGTCGTTGGACGCTCGTGGAGAAAAAAAAAAGCATCTTGTTGAATCCCGTTGAATCCCTTTGAATCCCGTTGAACAAAAAAAAAAAAAAGTCGTGAGGGTTGATTTTTTTTTTGATGGGTGAAAAAAAAAAAAGGGCGTATGGTGTTTGAAAAACCCTACACGCCCATATCTGCTTTTTCTAATTTTGATTTAAAAAAAAAAAATATAAAACTAAAAAAAGAGAAGAGAAAACATTTTATGCTACAACCTTGTGTGTATGTATGTGTGTGTGTGTGCTGTCTCTTATACACATCTAGATGTGTATAAGAGACAGGAGAAAGACAGGGACT